ACAATGCCAAAAATAGGCACCACCCAAGCCCTGCTGTGGTTGTAACAGGTCTGAAGCCCTCAACTGACAGGGCAGTCATGAGGCCCCCCCACCCCCTCCTCTACATTAAACTAGGGATAGCACTGAACAAGGGATACTTCATTGAACGAAGTATTACATACAATACTTAGAAGTAACATACAGTACATAGAAGTAACACATTAAATCAGTGGTAAGTGCATTTAAAAGGTATTATACTATGGTACTGTTCTACATTGATCCAGATGTACTGTACTACTATTGAACTAGGGGTACCACATTAAAAACTGAGGTATTACATTGAACTGAAGATACTACATTAACCAGTGGCACTACACTGAATGTGGGTACCATCTGGCTTAAACCACAGATACAGTACTAACCAAATTAAGCAGGGTAGTGGTTTACTAAACGTGAGTACTAGTTTATACCAGTAGTATCGGATTAAACATTTCATTCTTTCATTTATTTGGCATCATCATAAAAATACATACAATACAAGATAAAATACATTAAAACTGTTAGGAAACAAACATGAAAGAGACAAGAACTAAGAGATAAATAAAATAAAAATTTAATTAAATAAAGATCAGGTAAAGATGCCAGGGATAACACATAAAAGTCATTTAAAATAAAACTTATTTCCATGTGGTACCACAAGGGTACAAGATAGACCCCTGGGGGTATTACATTGAATTAAGTGTATAAGCTTAAACCAGAGCACCACATTGAGTCAGTCCTCTGTCTAAAGCTCTGCCTACACAGCTAACAAATGTGTGTGATGTGCCCATATATGGGCATGATGTCATATTACACCCAAATATGGGCATATAACATTTGTTTGTCACATAAAAGTTGATAGAGCTTACACTGGATATAGGCCTTGTACATGATACAGTAAACGGAACTTTTGATTGCACGATGACGGTAGGACGTAGAACATAATGACATCACTAAAAGTCTTCCGCGCATGCGAGAATGTTATGTTCTCGTCACATGGATTCTAGGACACAATTTGGCCAAATCTATGTAAGCAGAGAACATAGGATGCCCAGCAGGACTGTCACGCATGAGTGATTCTGTTTTGGCGTCGCTTCATCGCGCAAATCGAAAGTTCCATAATGAGATGCATGATTTACTTAATCATGTAATTGAATTTGCATCATCTGCTATTTTTCTCCTTTCCCATAAAAAACAAAGAGAAATATTGAAATTTTATTTATGTTTATTGTCAGTGTGAACTTGTGTCGAATCCAATTTGCTCATAACAATTTTATGTTAAGACAATACAGAAATAAGAAAGTATAATACATACTCCAAGTATTGAAATACACGCCATCGTGTTGGGATTCAATATTTCGACATTAATTATGTCATCATCAGGAATGAAGTTACAGAATGAAGATACAGAAATAAATTACACAAAATACAGTTATGTTTACACTTTATTAATTAGGATCAGTGAAGTACATAAATCACAACTATTATTATTGTAGTAATAAAATACAGATATAAAAATATTTTTTTAACGTTAATTTATTAACAGGAATTGTAAATTACATTTTATACAAACAAATAATACAAAATTTATTGTTTTATTACTTCTGAAGCAATTTTTTGATTTGAATTTTAAAATATGGCCCTTGTGCAACCCCCAGTGTGCTTAATATATCAAGAGTGAAAAGATGACGATAATGAAGGAAAGAATTTTATGAATATTGCATATTTGAACTTTTAGAGAGGTTGATGGAAATTGAAAATGGATCATAAAAAATTGTTGTTTATCAGTACTAAGCTTAATCCTCTAATCTTACATCCACTTGGGATTAACGATCATCATGAGATGTCAAAATTCTGAGTATCCCAAATATGTAGCAACTAAACGGTCAAAAAAAGTTCATTCAGCCAAAATAGAAAACTTGTGAATGAAGCCATTCATTGGATTTTGAATAAAAGTTGAGGAACAAAATGAGCATCAGCATTGTTAGTATATTAAATAGATTTATGAAGATTACCCTCACAACCCTACTACACAGTACAACCAGTCAAGTCAAACAGAAGTCAGAAATGTGATCAAATACCAGAATTGATCAGAATCTTAACATATCCAAACAATAAAGGGGGAAATAGGGATTATATACCTGTAGAATGAGAAAGGAATACAACATACAAGTTACAAATTAAAAAATTAATGCAGATTAGAAAAGTTGATACGAAGTAGAAGTCATCACAAACATTAATCATGCATAAAAGTTGTCGTAAAGAAAGAAAATAAAGTAAAAACTTAAAAATTAAAAAAAAATAAGGACAACAAATACACAATTCGCATACACTGCATACACCATGCATATAATGCAACATGGATGACATTGCACATATAACTTGAATGTGATAACATGGATGACATTGCACATATAACTTGAATGTGATACAACATGGCAGCCATGACAAACATACATATTACACATGGTACAACATGGCAGCCATGACAAACATACACATTGCATGTGATACAACATGGAAGCCATGACACATATACACATTGCATGTGATACAACATGGAAGCCATGACACATATACACATTGCATGTGATACAACATGGAAGCCATGACACATATACACATTGCATGTGATACAACATGGCAGCCATGACACATATACACATTGCATGTGATACAACATGGAAGCCATGACACATATATACATTGCATGTGAACTGACTGGAGTTAATAAAAACCGCTTGTGATCTGTCATATATGTATGATTTAAACCATTGTAGCTCAATATCGTCAATTCCATAATAATTTAGCTTTTTTATCAGTAGTCCATGATCAACTGTATCAAACGCTTTCTTGAGATCCAGAAATATAGCAGCAGTAGCTTTACTATTGTTAAAATTATTTAGTATGAAGTTGGACATATCTATTAGTGTTGTGTTGGTAGAATGGTTCTTTCTGAACTGTCTCTTATACACATCTAGATGTGTATAAGAGACAGTTGCATGTGATACAACATGGAAGTCATGACACATATACACATTGCATGTGATACAACATGGAAGCCATGACACATATACACATTGCATGTGATACAACATGGAAACCATGACACATATACACATTGCATGTGATACAACATGGAAGCCATGACACATATACACATTGCATGTGATACAACATGGCAGCCATGACACATATACACATTGCATGTGATACAACATGGAAGCCATGACACATATACACATTGCATGTGATACAACATGGAAGCCATGACACATATACACATTGCATGTGATACAACATGGAAGCCATGATACATACACATTGCATGGTAGACAGATTTGTACACTTTTACAATGCATGAAACTATTGATTCAAAATAACATGCAATATTTAAAATAATAGATTTTTGTGACCAATTATAATGCAATCATGTATATAGTAGACATTTTTATGCAATCAAATTTATTTATTTATTTATTTATTCTGTCTTTCTACTGCATGCACTTTCAGTACTTGTGTACTGTTTTTCAAAGTGGTACAGTTTCATAAAATACAAAAGTTAAAAGAAAAGTAATTAAAAAACAAACATATATATAAATAGATATCATAATAAAAGTGATTAAGAATTAAAAGAGTTTTTAAAAAATATAATAGACATGTTCATGAAATTTGTTGTTGTTTTGTGTGGAAGTTCATTCCACAACTTTGTTGAACGATACAAAAAAGTTCTCTTGCCTTGACAGTTATTCCATTGTGGTACAAAAAGGTTATTATGAGATTGACTACGTGTACAT